GCGGTACACATCTTCAAACTCACGGTACATGTAGCTTACCTTGTCAGATTGATGATCGTGAATTCACAGCTGAGTATTACGTTGTAGAGACGGAATCAAACCCTGTACTCAGTCTCAAAACATGCCTTGAATTGGAGCTTATCCAACTTACCTGTGCGGTTGATACTTGTGGATCGAGTGAGAAATCTGGAAAACCTCTTGAGAAGAGCACCATTCTTGCAGAATATGCCGATGTGTTTGAGGGCATTGGGCTCTTTCCAGGTGAATGTACGATACACATCGATCCGAGTGCTATCCCTGTAGTTCACCCACCACGAAAAGTTCCAGTCGCACTTCGTGAAAGACTCAAAGACGAACTTGATCGGATGGAAAAGTCAAACATTATCACAAAGGTTGATGAACCAACTGAATGGGTCAACTCTTTAGTAATCGTTGAAAAGCCACACTCAAAGAAACTGCGCATATGCTTGGATCCATTGGACCTGAATCGTGCTATACAGCGTCCACACTACCCAATGAAAACACTTGAAGACATCCTTCCAAGCCTCTCTAAGGCTCGTTATTTCACTAAACTCGATGCTCGATCTGGATATTGGGCCATCAGACTGGCTGAGGAATCTTCATTTCTTACAACGTTCAACACCCCGTATGGACGTTACAGATTTCTTAGACTACCCTTTGGGATACGTTCAGCACAAGATGAATTTGCAGATGGCGTTGCAGCCATAGTTGATGACGTTCTGGTGTATGGAAGTACTCCCGAGGAGCATGATCACAACCTGCGGAACATGCTTTCCCGCTCCCGTGACAAAGGTATTAAGCTTAACGAAGAGAAGCTTGAAGTTGGTGTCACAGAGATCCAATACTTTGGACACATCTTGAGTGCTGAAGGCCTCAGACCGGACCCAGCTAAGGTCTCTGCTATATGCTCAATGAATCCACCACGTGACCGCTCTGAATTGGAAATAATTCTTGGAATGGTTAATTATTTAGCCAAGTTTGCTCCTAATCTGTCCGAGATCACCAGCCCTCTGCGACAGCTCCTTCCCAAAGACGTTGAGTTTGTGTGGGATCATCCTCAGTCCACAGCGTTTCAGAGAATCAAGGATATCATCACACAGACACCTGGGCAAGTTCTTGCCTACTACGACCCAGACAAGGATCTAACACTCCAAGTTGATGCATCCAAGCATGGTCTTGGTGCCGCTCTCTTACAGGATGGGAAGCCTGTCACTTATGCATCTAAGTCTTTGACCACCACGGAGGTCAATTATGCACAGATCGAAAAGGAAATGTTTGCTATCCTGTTCGGCTGTAAGCGTTTCCACCAGTATGTTTATGGTCGGCATGTGAAAGTCGAGTCCGATCATAAACCTCTCATCTCTATCATGAAGAAGCCTCTTGCTGTCGCCCCTGCTCGGTTACAGCGTATGATGTTGCAGCTACAAAAGTATGACCTCACAGTTGAACACAGACTTTGGAAGGAAATAGTAGTAGCTGATACACTTTCACGCAAGTCAGTGCCTGATACCTACCCGCACCTTTCAGAAGGTATGGACGCGCATGTCCATATGATAGTATCAAATGTTCCTGTCAGTGAGAAGAGGATGGAGGATATTAGACGAGCCACAGAAGCTGACCCTCAGTTCTCCTTGCTCCAACAAACTATCATAGATGGTTGGCCTGAACATAGGAAGCCATGCCCAGGGACAATACTTGAATTCTGGAACTTCAGGGACCAACTTGCCTTCATGGATGGCATCATATTCAAGGGCCAGAAAATTGTCATACCCAAGTCCCTGAGGACAAGTATGCTTGACAAAATTCACACTGGACACATGGGAGTTGAAAAGTGTCTCCGACGTGCTCGTGACATTTTGTTTTGGCCCAAAATGTCGAATGATATCACAAGTCTTGTACTCAACTGTTCTGTGTGCCTAGAGAGAAGAAACTCTAACCCCAAGGAACCCCTCATATCACATGACATTCCCAGTCGTCCTTGGCAGACCGTGGCCACAGATCTCTTCTTATGGGACACCCATGATTTTGTGGTCGTTGTCGACTATTATAGCAGGTACTTTGAAGTTTGCAAATTACCCAGCACCAAAAGCACCACTGTTATCAATGCTCTCAAAGATGTATTTGCGAGACATGGGATACCGGATAAGGTGATATCTGACAATGGCCCCCAGTACTCCTCACAAGATTTTGCTCAGTTTGCAGAAAAATGGGACTTTGTGCATGAGACATCAAGCCCTCGTTACCCACAGTCAAATGGTCTTGCCGAGAAAACTGTCCAAACAATCAAGCGCATTTTTTCCAAGGCGAAGACAGATGGCAGAGATCCACACATTGGTATTCTAGAGTACCGTACTACCCCAATGGAGGCAAATCTATCACCCTCTCAGCTACTCATGGGTCGACGATTACGATCCACATTACCTTGTACCCAACATCAACTTTTGCCTGGATCTGTTGATCATTCTCAGTACCAGAAAGTACTACAAGCAAGTCGGAGGAAACAAAAGCACTACTACGATACTGCTGCCAAGCCCCTGTTGCCCCTTAAAACAGGAGAAGCAATTCGTGTACGACAACACAATAACTTGTGGACACCTGCAGTAGTCACAAAGCAGCACAATTCCAGGTCTTACACTGTTCGCACTGGCGATGGAGCGGAATATCGTCGCAACCGACGTCACCTACTAAAGACACGTGAAAAGCATGACATACCTGAAATGAACATTGATGTCACAAGTAGTGAGTTACCACGTGTTCCACAGACTGACAGAGCCGTTACCTGTACTCGTGATACAGCTGAGGTCAAACCATCTGATGACCCTGTAACATCACCGATCCCATCACGAACACACAGTCCCCAGAAAGTTATTGACAATGCCAATAATCAATATATCACTCGTTCGGGTCGGGTTGTCAAACCCAAGGTTATTGCCTCAGTGTAGTTTTTACCAGTTTTAGCTCAAGATGATTGTAAGACTATACAACAGTCAACCACAGTAAGTTTGTATCAGTGTCATTCTGATAGGCTATGTAGGCCACTTCACAATTTTAGTTAGAATTTACAGTCAAGAATTGACAACCTTAGATTTATTAGTTGTAATTCAAGTTTGAAGTGTTAAGCATCATTGAAGTAATAGAATATAATCAATATCAAGTGTCTACTCTTTGTAGTCGTTTTCTGTGCTCTGTAGTTCACTTACTGTTAATGTGTCAAACTTTTTTTTATAAGAAAAGGGATGTACTGTTATCATACTGCATTATGCCACTAGCGGCTGTGATGGTGTATAACATATAAGAGTAATCTCCCTTGGCGACCTAGCCGTCGGGACCCCCTGTTTTACCAGATGTACCACCCGTGTATGTATGGCAATAAATACAAGATGGAACACAGAATGTCGTTCTCCATTATTTATTCGTCGGAGGCAGCAACAGCCTAGGGCTAGTTCAAGTGCTACAAATCATTCCCAAAGCGTGAGAATATTACAGTTGCTACATTACATCGAGGTACCGGTGGTTACCCTACAGTATAGTTGCTACATTTCATCCAGGTACCAGTGGTCACAGTACAGTATAGTTGCTTCATTACATCCAGGTACCAGGGATTACCATGCTGTATAGTTGCTACATTACATCCAGGCACAGGTGGTTACTATATACTATAGTTGCAACATTACATCCAGGTACTGGTGGTCACCATACAGTATCGTTGCTACATTACATCCTGGTACCAGTTTTCACAGTACAGTATAGTTGCTTCATTACATCCAGGTACCGGTGGTCACCATACAGTATATTTGCCACATTACATCCAGGTACCAGGGGTTACCATGCCGTATAGTTGCAACATTACATCCAGGTACCTGTTGTCACCATACAGTATAGTTGCTACATTACATCCAGGTACCAGTTGTCACAGTACAGTATAATTGCTTCATTACATCCAGGTACCAGTTGTCACAGTACAGTATAGTTGGTACATTACATCCAGGTACCAGGGGTTACCATGCCGTATAGTTGCTACATTACATCCAGGTACCAGTTGTCACCGTACAGTATAGTTGCTTCATTACATCCAGGTACCAGTGGTCACAGTACAGTATAGTTGCAACATTACATCCAGGTACTGGTGATCACCCTACAGTATAGTTGCTACATTACATCCAGGTACCGGTGGTCACCGTACAGTATAGCTGCTACATTACATCGAGGTAGTGGTGGTCACCCTACAGTATAGCTGCTACATTACATCGAGGTACTGGTGGTCACCATACAGTATAGCTGCTACATTACATCCAGGTACCGGTGGTCACCGTACAGTATAGTTGCTACATTACATCCAGGTACTGGTGGTCACCGTACAGTATAGTTGCTACATTACATCCAGGTACTGGTGGTCACCGTACAGTATAGCTGCTACATTACATCGAGGTAGTGGTGGTCACCCTACAGTATAGCTGCTACATTACATCGAGGTAATGGTGGTCACCCTACAGTATAGCTGCTACATTACATCGAGGTAGTGGTGGTCACCCTACAGTATAGCTGCTACATTACATCCAGGTACCGGTGGTCAGCGTACAATATAGTTGATGTATTACATCCCTGCACTGCTGGTTACCATATTGTATAGTTACTACATTTATACTTATCTTGGTGCATGGCTATATGTTTAAATACGTTTGTGCATATCTGTATGTTTGCGGAAAATGCAGATCAAAATTTGTACATGCGAAAGCAGATAAAACGATCAAACAATTGTTACATGCTGCCACCGACAAGGTGCTTTTAGGAATATTTATGAGAGGACTTGGCCCTCCAACGTTACCATTTAATTTTATGTCCGCAGCAATATGGGTTACGTCACACATACATGTAGCAGGTATCCTCTGGTATGGTCAAATTTGAGGGAAGCAACGATATGTTTTTTCTGGTCACTGATATATGTTCAACTCAATGACCACATTGACATACAGACCTACCTGTTTTTCTGTGTCTTTCCCTTTGTGCACAACCACCGGTGTAACGAGTCGCTCACAGTAACTTCCCTCCAGGAGCGCCACACCTGATGGACGCACAACGCTGTCATTCTCGAAGTAAAACAATACATTCTGATACAAGACAAAATGTCGTTGCTGCCATTTACCAGTGTCAGAACTCTTCTTGAATAGGAAACCATTCATACTGTTTTCATGGCGAGCTTTACTGGCCAGGTACAGTAACTGGCCCTCGTTAAAACGGATTCCCTTCTGCATTTGTAACCAGCAGAGAAGATATGAAAAGAAAATCCTGCCAGCAAAGTGTATAAAGCAGTGAGGTTTCGTTCAACAATAAAATTTATAGCCAATTGAAGCACTTTCAGGCTATAATCAGCTACAATTATCGCCGAATCTTCGAACAATAAGGAATCACAATCCTAAGGTTGCATGTTATGGACAATATTTATCATAAAAAGTACAATGAATCTTTTTCACTTCCGACTAAAATAGAGGGTGTAACAACTCTTACACCCAGAGTAACAACATTCCCATCATAAAAATTTCCATCCCACACAGAGCTAACACTTCAATCACATGTGCGTCTCAACCAGGTCGATATTGTAGCAAGTTGGATGTCCCTTCACTGGTCACAACATGAGCGCCGATACCTGATTGCTGAGGCGACGTGACACCGATTGCTACTTAGGTATCCCAGTAGGTTTGTTATTGTTATCTCGCAACTAGCCGAACATCTAACACCTGGTTGGAATGCCGGAGTAGCTGGGGACCTGTCGCCCATATCGTTACCTAACTGTATCTACCGAGAACTGAGGACATTAGTACAAACTAGGATAACATAGACATAAACAGTTTCGTTAAATGGTGTTTTAACGAGAACGAGCAGAGCATCTGCCACCTACGACTCCGTCATGGGAGTAACTATGGGCACATGTTAGGTAAATGCGGCCTTGGCGTTTGCTGCGTTCAGCTGGAAAGTTGCGGGGCCATTTATTGGCAGTAGATACGATCGATACATGACATTACAGTACGAATGACATCTGCTGTCTCACCGACACACACACGTTTTGTTGCCAGCCAATACTGACGGCCATTAATACAGCTGAATACTGTAGGGCGCTTGTGCTGTCTCTGTTGTCTTGAACCATTGTCTGCATTGGTTTGTAGAAGCTAAATACCTCAGAAAGTGATATTTACCTTGCATCGTCAAAACTGGAAATTAATTGCTAATAGTAGCAACCAATTCCAAATACAAACGACAAGGCCAATCATGTCCAATAAAATGTTTCTACCTTTGTTTTGTAAACACATTACACACAAATCAATCTTGACACTGGTTGTAAATGTTATAGATGTCAAATATTACAGACATATGCATGGTAGATTCCAAATATTGTTTTCGAGAAGGTATACGTCTGTAATATGTCTTTCGCTTTGGCACAAACACAGTATCTTAAGCGACATGATAGTTTGGCTCGATGATTTTATTACCGTCTTCGCCATGCTTGTGGTTTTGACACAGAGGTCCATCCATGGTACGACCCGTAATATTGTAGCGGCCCGGGCAAGAACTTCTGATGATCCTTGACGACTGGGTGTCAATAAAAGTCAAACACTTCTTTTCAATGAATAAAGTTTTTATTCACGTGGGTCTAACAATACATTATATGGATAAAGCAATGCTTCCAAATACGTAGATCCCTCAGAGTTTTAAGGTTTATTTGTAAGGACCATTGCAACTATAATGGTAGTTTACTGATACATACATACACGCATAAAACATTGACAGAAGCTTTAACAAACTCAACAACAAAAGTTCCTGTGACACCAATATTTTAGTGTATTTTTCAATATTGTAGCACATGTATGGAATCAAGTCACAAAAACGCAACTACTTAAAAAAAGCATGCATTCCATGCAAAAGTTGACTTTTATGCAAGCCCCATGCATTTCACTATCCAAGAATGGGTATAAAAACATGCGCGTTAACGGGATTCAATATGCATTGTTAAGCATCGTGCTGACAACAACCACTCAGAAAAACAACAAAATTACGCAATTATTCAACATTACGAAATGCCACGACTGTCCGAAAATGAGCGTTTGCGGGCCATTGGTATGCTTGAAGCAGGATCGAGTCAACGTGATATTGCAAGACAATTTAACGTCCACAGAAACACCATTTGGTGTTTATGGCAACGTTGGCAACAGACGAATGCAGTCAGAGACCATCCTCGGAGTGGCAGGCCACGCGTAACCAATAATCGACAAGACAACTGGATTCGAACAACACACCTTAGATATCGATTCTAGCAAGCAACAGTGACTGCAAGAAGCATCCCTGGCCTTCGACGAATATCTTCACAAACCACGGCCATGCAGTGGGGACAAGTTCTATTCACTGACGAGTCTCGTTTTCACCTCAGCCACAGCGGTGGACGGATTCGAGTGTACCGACGTCGAGGTGAACGTTACGTCAATCATTGTGTCATGAAAGAAGATCGGTTCGGGGATGGCAGCGTTATGGTATGGGGTGGGATTACAGCAAGACAGAGGACCCGTTTGATAATGGTAGATGGAAATCTCAATGGACAGCGCTACCGCGACGAGATCATCGGCCCTGTTGTTCTACCGTTTTTAAGTCGTCATTGCCCAGGCATTACCTTTCAACATGACAACGCCCAGCCTCATATTGCTCGACTTGTTCAGGATTCTCTTCAACAAAACAACGAGAATGTCATCCCCTGGCCGGCTCGCTCCCCTGACCTCTCGCCAATCGAGCACATGCGGGATGAGATGGATCGGCGCCTTCGACGTCAACCACGTGTTCCACAGACACCCCAAGAACTTCGAAACATGCTCCAGCAGATATGGACATATATCCCACAGGACTTTGTGCGACGCCTGGTCCATTCCATGAGACGAAGATGTCTTGCTTGCATCGCAACCAGAGGTGGACACACACGCTATTGATTTTTACATTCACATTTTGGCATGTTCATGTTTTTTGGGTTTTTTTATGAAATCACACATTTTCTGAAGTCAGTATGGCAAATTAAACCATTTGAACACTTACAGGAATCTTTTATCTGTTGCAAACCGAAATCGTTTCAGATTTGGTAAAAACATAGCTTAGCATTAAATCTTATTCAATGTCACAGGGACTTTTGTTGTTCAGTATATTTACTTAACAAATATAAAAATCAGAAGGAATGTGTGCATTGTCTGAAATGCAACAATTTAGCGCCTTGAAGTGTAACCATGGTGTTTGATTGTTATTGTCATTCAACAAAATATCACGTGACTAAACAAAGGTCCGGGTAGATCTAGTACTGTGGGTATCCGGGTCCTACTCATTACCCGCCAGAGTTGCCCATCCCATCCCTAGTTATAATGTTGTGAGTTAGAAATGTGAATATTTATTATTTGTTCCAATGTCGTTGTATGGAAATGTCCTTGATGGTTTTAGTTAACAAAAATTGTATCCCTGCAGTGAAAGCATTTTTGGATTTGGGATTGTGTGGAATACAATTGCTACTCCCTTGTTGTCATCTATGTATCCTGGTATAACCCTACACCTGTGTATTTATCATCATTTATCACAGGTTCCCATTTGGCTTTTCTTGTATCTGGGGTAATTGTTCAATCTAAATCCTGGTTTGAAGTGGGGTGAACTGTATGTTATGTTATGCACACCCGGTACAGCAAATGGTCACCTGCGTTAAAAAAATAAACACCCATCAAAGGATTAACCGAAAATATGTTGATCACTGTTATCTTGCAAAGTGGATTTGTCAAAATTAAGTGTTTTAAACATGTGTAGGTTTACTAAATCAGAAGGAATAGACGCATATCTTTGCATGAACTGCCAATGTTAAGACAACATACTTTGTTCAAAGGGTTAGCCGATAATATGTTGATTGATTGCTCATTGTTATACAACTCGATGGATTTATTTCAAGATCCGTGGACATCATGAAAATAGCTGTCACGTGTGCTATCTCAGCTGACCAATGAGACTTGACACCTAAGTGAAACACCAGAAACAAATGTAATTGGTCAGTTGTGTCTGACTGTCTCTTACTTTTCCACTTAGCAACAATCATTGAACACATTGTTTATTGTTTGTTGTTTGTTATTTCTTGGGCTTGACATCCTCAAACTGAGGGAACTTCAAGATTATGTGCACATCCTATTATTATTTACGGCAATATTTATGTAAATTATTATGTTATCAGACATCTGAGATGTACTTATTCAGTTTATTTGTCAATTTTTCACCTTTGATAAATTTATGGGACAAGTGAGTGAGTGAGTTGGTTTAACGCCGCTTTTAACAGTATTCCAGTTATATCACGGCGTGTCAGCTTAATGTGGGAGGAAAGCCCGAAGTGATGCAGGTCTCAGACGTTTACCACTTCGGTGAAACCCACGAGCACGGGTATGGTGGACATGCTGACAAACCTAGAAACATAATCGGGGCGGACCGGGATTCGAACCCACAATCATAGGTTTCTGGCGTGTTCAAGGGACGCAACTCTGCACAGCGAATCGCGGCGCCTTAGACGACTGGGCCACCCGTGCCCCCTTATGGGACAAGAGTACAACATTATTTTGTATGGTGCAACTAGGTTCTCATGTTAACATACACCTGGAGCAAATTGAATGAAGTTCCTTAACCCCCAACTGGCTACCCTTCCTTGTTATGAAGGTTTGCTCGGGCCTTAGAGGCCATTGCATATGGTAAACATTTGATGCATACTGTTACGAGTTTCCATGTGTCCTTTTCTCAAAATATGAATATGAACGCTGCCTCGTTTTGTGGTCGACAAGAGGAGAGCCCCTTCCAGGTAGATTCTATCTCAAGTCACGGTCCCCTGCCTTCTGAATTTGTTAAAAACTGATGAATTTGTCAACTAATTGGAATAAAGTCCCCACGGCCACAACAATTTGTGTGTCTGTGTTAATCACCTGCTGGCCATGTCACGTGATATTGGTATCATGAGCATGGAGCATTTACTGCTGACAGCAGAAAATATCACAAACCCTCCTATCTAGTGAAAGCAATATAGCATGCCATCAAGTCTTTCTGCTCGGGGCCTTTTTGTGTATTGGTGATCCAAATAACTTTTATATTTCTAAGCTTTTTTAAAAACTAATATGATGTTTAAATATTTTTCCCCTCCAGGACTGTCTCTTGGCTGTTATATCCAAAATGGTTTGACATTTGATATTGTCGCTCTACTGTTTTCAGCTTTTAGCATGTCTGATGATGTCTGGGGAGGTATATGTGCACTCATGCAGAAGAAATAGAAGTTTTCACATCCAATTTGGCATGTGGAGAAGCCGATCTGAAGTCGGTGTAAGCAGTATGTGATCGACAACCCTTGTTTTGCCTCGTTGCGCTCTATTATCTTGTAGAAGTTGTGGAACTTGGACATGTAGGTACAGTAAGTACATTTAAGAACCCAGTCCACTTAAGGCCCCTCTGTTGCTCACTATCAAGTTCCATGATAAATCACACTCATGCATTAGAAATTTCTGACAGTGCTCCTTTAATGCCTCACTGTGCAGTTTCTCAGTTTGCAAACATGAGGAAAGGGCTATACACCAGCCCCAGAACCTGCTTAAATGAAAATAATACTCACTGGCTCTCCTGAATGTAACATTATGGTTCTGAAATCATCTGTAAAGAATGTGATAGTTTTCGACATTACTAAGTTATCTCCCCTGTTTTATAAAATGCATTTCATCTTTTCATCTTTCCATCCCCCATAAACCCATAAATTATTTGAGAGAAACACTTTTTTAAGCTGGCATTGCATGACACTGTTATAAATTGTGGATAAAAAGAATTACATTTTTGTCAGGATAAGCTCTAACATTTTCTAAATTATGTTGTGGTTTCAAAGAGCTTTCTTCTACTAAGGTGCCATTTCCATTTCTCGGCTTAAATAGGCGGTATGGTTCACTGGTCAGTGTTTGAGATTGCTGGCAACAATCCACCCATTTTCTTCCTATTTTCTGGTAAAGTCCCTTGCCAATTGTTGGCCTGAATTCCGTGCTCTGCGTCCAACTTTGAGATTTTTTTTCTGATTCCTTTCCTTGTGTACTTATGTCACCAGCGTATATCATAGGTGCTGACACTTTTGATTTTTGGAGTAAATGAAAGCACAAACATTTGTGATAGCCCCTCCATAGATGATTAACCAAATGCTGACAGTAATTTGAGTGTTAAAATTATATAAACAATGCAGGGTGTAAGTTCAAGCAATCTCAAACAAAATCAATCATGTCATGCGTGTCAAAACCATATTCCATGAATGTAGCAGACTCTGCTATGTTCTGATGATGTCAGCAAAGGAAGGAAATTGAAATTTGAAAGATGTATTTTTATTGGTGTTAAGGTTTAAAGATTTGTTTATTTTTTATAGTTGAAAATATTTATAGGGTGAAATGATCTAGGCAGCCTAAGCCTTGTATGGAACTGATCCGTGAGCCCTGTCTATTATGAAACATGAGTAAACTCCCATGGTCTGTGTTTGATTGTAGAAACGTATTATTAATACAGAAACACATTTTGTAAAACATTAATGGAATATATATCATTAACTCACACAGCTCTTACGGTACATCAAAACTTTGTAATCTGGTGCCATAAAGACATTTTGGATAAGTTGAGCACAAACTGAGCACACGTGTGCATTTACTAAATGGATGCTGGATGCTTAAAAATATATACTGAGTCAAATTAAAAACTTCACATTTTTAAAAGTAATCCCATATATGAAATACAACGGACAAATGTATCAGAGCAGGTAATTTTTAATCATTAATGTCCAAAGAAGGATTTTAATTAACGATGGTAACCATAATTTGTTCCAAGCACCTACGGTATTCGGTAATAACATCAACAGTTTAAATCATAAGTCCCAAGCACGAGAATCTGATGGCACACAAGTTCAGTAGCGTGTATGGCCACCATGTGCGTTGACAACTGCCACACAACGCCTCCGCATGGACCTTGTGATGCTTGTGAACACATGATTGGGAAGACGACGCCATTGTTGCTGCAAAATGGTGCCAAGATCTTGCAAATTCTGTGGTTGGTTCTGGAGAGTGCGCAGACTTCTGCCAAGGGCATCCCAGACGTGTTCGATGGGATTGAGGTCGGGAGACCTTGACGGCCATTCCATGACGTTGACTCCCGCATTCTGAAGGAAATTCCTTTTCAAAATTGCTGTGTGGGGTCTGGCATTGTCGTGTTGGAAGATCAAACCGGGTCCATGTGCTGCCATAAAAGGCAGAAGTTCTGGTGCCAGTACCTGGTCGCGATAAGCAGCAGCGTTGAGGTTGCCACGGATGACAAGAAGCCTGGAACGTGCATTGCCACAGAAAGCATCCCACACCATGACACTTCCGCCTCGAAATCTGTCAATTTCCTGTACACAACACTGGGCGTAACGTTCATGACGGCGCCTCCACACCCTCGCCCTACCACCAGCAAATCGAAGATTAAATCAGGATTAATCACTGAAGACGACTTGATTCCAATTCCTCTGAGTCCATCGTAAGTGTCGCTGTGCCCACAATTGACGTTGACGTCTGTGTAATTGAGTCAGAATCGGCCCGCAGTATGGCCGTCGTGCTTGAAGGTGAGCAGTTCTCAGACGGTTTCGAACAGTTTGCGCTCTCAGTTTACCCCTAAACAGTTCATTTCTGGTTGATGTAGCCGTCAAAAATCGGTTACGGAGGTGACATAAGACAATCTGACGATCCTCTGCATGTGACGTCACACGTGGTCGACCTGGCCGAGGGCGATCAGCGGTGGTGCCCGTTTGCTGTAGACGCGTCTGTAAATCATAAACAGTCCGTCAACTACAACCCATCGTCCTTGCGACTTCAGCTACGGACGTTCCCGTCTGCAATATGCCGATGACACGTTCACGTTGCACATTTGAAAGGCGTGGCATGACAAATGACCGTAAAGACTTTTGTTTTCTTGTGTTTCTTTTTTTCAATGACTGCTAACAATTTTGGCTGAAAACACGTGCGGTATTATGGCCACGTGACCAGTTGCACGTGAAAAACCACTTTTGCCACTATAGTGCTGTGCACATGATTTTGATCGATTCACCTGCACAAAAACGGGTGTTATCTGAAGACAATACGTGGCCATTACTGTTTAAATACACAATAAGGGCCCACAATGATAACTGGTCAAAATGTTAAAATTCTAGGATTGTGAAGTTTTTAATTTTGTTCAGTATATATAGCGTTACTATAGAAATCTATGGGAAAACATTTGTTTGTATGTTACCTATATCATGTTAAATCAAGCCCTGATTGTGAACTGTTTAAACTTGCAATCCCCTTTCATTTTCTAACACTACACCTATCTGATCTGATATAATGTATATTGCATTTTCACTCTTTGACTTTGGTATTTTCACAAAAAAGACATTTGCAAAGACTACCTTTTGGAATATTGAGGGAGTCTAATAGATGAGGAAAAGGCAAAGGCGTTGCTAGAGCAAAGGAATGGTGCTATGTGTTCTATTTCACATTTAAAGAAAAGAAATTATGGCATTTCTATTTGTCTCAAAAGGGAGGGGTGGGTGTCGTTTACGGAGCACAACTTGAAAACTGTCAAAGACTTTTATTATAAACCTCTAGTGACGTCACTCTATTGTCTCGCCAGGGTCTTCTTTTACCGACTTAACCTCTACTGGTAGTTTACCGGGCATACCTAGGGTAAGCCCCGGGCTTTCTGCAAGAAATCCCGGGAGATTTTCTACTGAAAGCCTGGTTTTTGTCCCGAAAAATACCCTCTGTATTGAATTACCTTTCTGCATGAAAAAAACCCAACAGAACATGGCTCAACTATTTATTGATATTAGATGAAATTGAAATTGAGCGTCACAGTTCGATTTTGTTTGTCTTCAGGTCATTGGTCATCTGCTCTTTTCGGATTAGCTTCTTCACGTGATGGCGAGTTATTTTTTTCAACATACGGCGTCGCTCCGATGTCCTGAAACAAATTGTTTAGATTACTGAAAGTATTACACATACAGCATACAAATACACTTAAAAACTATTACAGATACCAAAAACACCAATATTACCATATATATCATAAATAAAAAAGAGCATCTTACTGGTTTGGAAAAAATATTTCTTTGATATGTTATGACTTTTGCCAGAGACCATATGGTCTCTGCTTTTGCTGAATAACAATTTCTTATTACTGCAGGACTAAAATGTTTATCAACCTACCGGTATTTTCGCAAATCATTTGTTCATCAACGTCACCTTGATACAGTCGAGTGGCTGCCGTGGCTCTCAAGGAATGGTTTGTCTTCATGCCCTCAATACCGGACGTCTTGCACTTGTAAGGCTATTTCACGCTCGGAGAGTGGATCTCCTAAACGGAATTTAAAGTCATCACTTTCTTTGTCTTCTTCAGCACAGGATGCCGATTCTTTAAAAACTGACTGCGTCAGAAATATATCGTTGTTGTCTGCGTCCATCCTCTTCAGTGGAATTCATTCGATTTGCTTGAACCACATGCGCTCATTGTTACAACGGGCCTGAAGCACGTGATGCGCGCGGATGTACTCCCCGCGTATTGCAGTTAAACTCTCAACAGTAAATATCAATGAAGTCATGTTAATACCAATCAGTAAAATTATTTCTAAATCATATTATTTGATCAGTTCATAAGTGAGATCAAAAACTTGCCCTCGGTTTTGTTTGGGAAGTATGCCCTTGCCCTTGGCCTCGGGAAAGGGGGTCGGGCCTTTCGGCCTCGGACGCGGTTTTGATCCTACACGTATTAATCAAGGGCTGAAGTTGTGCCTTTTGCTATCAAGGAGTTTAAAAAAAATCTTGTTTCCATGGCAACAAGTTTGACTTTGACTCTTTTCATAGTGGTGTGTTCGTCTGAACCATATCTCTAAAACTATAAGGTATTCTTTCATAACACGTTATGTAGTAGCGGGAAGGCTCCGGTTAGGGCAGCAAACACAGAACAGGCTACTGGGGTGTGAGTTGACAGCTGACTATATTTGCACATACGCTTGTTGTTTCTGAACTCTGCAAATATGTATAAAAATACAATGAAAATATCTAATAGATGAAATATAACAAACATATCACATAGTATCAACACACCAATGCATAAACAGTTCATCCAATTTAATATGCTCTGCATACTATAAACATTATTTATACTTGATAGTTACACTCACCCTTGTGGTTTTGAGCCAAATTACATCTAAAAATACTTAAGAGGGTTGGTTACATAAATACCGCCTCTACAAATTGCCATGATACAAACATAATATAAACACAATGTACACAAAACTTACCACTGTGTGGCAATGAGCTGGCAACTATGTTAGCATTGGCAGATCACGGGCATGGTAACATCGATTGCCATATTCTAGAAAAATTAAAACAATAAGGCCGCATAAGAAATAGGAAATGGCCAATAAAATTAAGAACATGTAAAATTACCTTTTCATATGTATCCATTCAATCATAATCTACATACATACATACTGCATTCACACATGTAGTTAGATGGTATTTAAGTAGTGATTAATAGTTAAATTTGATTATAGATTTAGTTTAGGTTTAACTAAAGTGTTTAACAAATTAAGAGGGAAGGTATAGAATATCTGAAGATATCGAGATAACATGTATACTTATTATGAAGTACTAGTTTATGTTTAAACTATTTTCAGTTTGACAGATATAGATATATATATATAATATGTATAATTACCAATCAATGCATTACCTTAATGCATCTAATTCATAAAACTAAATACACAGACATATCTACAAGATACATAAATATGAACCAAACACAAACTAACCTTATAGAGATCCTGAACACAACAAATATATCATCCACTGATTTGAATGCAATCCACAGAACCACTGATTTCCTTCAAGTGTTAGTGACCAACTAATTTAGCAAAGTCAGCCCAAAACAGAAGAAACCTTTTACTTACATAATACAGAAGCTGGGAAGGAAAACAAAGCAAGACGCTTGTGCTGTTGGTGGCTGTAAAGGTGAAAGTGGCTATTGTTATGTTAGTAGTTATGTAAGTACTGGAGCTGGTCTAATTGTTGTTGTTTTTATACTGCTCAAGTAATCTATAGCTTGAGACAGAAACGGGCTACAACAGAAACAAGAAAATGAAGAGACTTTACTTAAATATTTACAAAATAGCAATAAAATCAACTAGGCCACATTTACACAAACAAAGACCAGGTTGTCAAATGGTACCTTTTGCTACTTAGAGATGTTTAGAATTTTTATTGTTATTTTTTAATGCATACCAGGATCATTTTCTAATGAGACTGACTTTATTGAAAGTGAGTGAGTGAGTGAGTTGGGGTTAACGACACTTTTAACCGTATTCCAGTCATATCACGGCGTGTCAGCTTAATGTGGTAGGAAAGCCCGAAGTGATGCAGGTCTCAGACGTTCACCACTTAGGTGAAACCCACGAGCACGGGTATGGTGCTGACAAACCTAGAAACCTAATCGGGGCGAACCGGGATTCGAACCCGCAATCATAGGTTTCTGGCGTGCCCAAGAGACGCAACTCTGCACAGCAAATCGCAATGACTGCCCTGGAGACGTGGGCATCTAAGGAAAGCCATTTCAGGCTAATATTTCATATTATCATAATGTCATAAAGTTGTGTGCCACTGAACGGTCAATGTACTGGCTGGTTCCCAGTGAAGTCGGGTCTACGTTAAGGATGTCTTCTTTCCCCTCTACTCTTCCACATGTTTATAAATGAAAAACTACGAACCAACAGAACATTTAAGGAGTTCTATCTTGCTGAGGACTATGTTGTAAGAAGTATGTGCAGAAGCAACCGGCGTGCACTAGGTCAGTTTCGTTGTGGTGTAGCTTCCTTGCGGCTAGAGAGAGGAAGATATGAAAATATACCACCCAATAAGAGATATTCTTTCGCCTGATAAAATGATGATGAGAATAATAATCCATGTTCTTTTTAACTGCCCTACATATACCAGTTTTACTTTACCCTTTTTACAACGTTGCAATGAAAAGTTAACGGCTTTGCAGATTTATCTAATGATAACAACTTATGTCACATTTTAGCAACCCATCACTTTTATTTTACTCAGCCAAAACAAGTAAGGATATTCTACTCACGAGAAGAGCATGTATATGTTTAAATCTGTATATGTATAAATTGTATTTACTATGGCTGTTTCTTTTATGTGTACATACACGCTTAATTTAAAGTATGCCTCGTGTCTTATGTTATTACATTGTCTCTCATAACCCCTCGAGGTACGGTGTGGCTTGGGCATGTTTTACTTTTGTCTGTATACTTTTATATCGTATGTACGCACAAGGTGAGACATAAATAAACTGTCTGTCTGGCTAGCTGGCAGGCAGGCGGGGATTAGGTGATGTTTAGGTAGAGGTGAGGGAGTAGAGGTAAATGTTTATAAAGGGGAGTGGGTGTGCGTGGGCGGGTAATAGAAATGAGAGTGAGTTGTTTTCAGGAGATTACGGAGGATGAGGTGTTCGTGGTTTTAAGGGTTTGAGATGAAAGAGTGTTCGAGTAGTGTTGTTTTTAAGGATTTAGGGTTTTGTGATTAATTTGGTGAGAGTTATTTTACGAGTATGTGTTTGAGGGTGAAAGGATAACATGATAATTACCGATGGTGGAGTTCTGCTTGGCTGGCTAAAAGGCGATGCTCTGTGCTGGCTTGGGAGGTGTTGCTCGCTTGGAGTAAAAACTGCAACTGTTGGTCTCCCGGAAATTCCCAGTCATTTGCTAAGCAAGTGCCCGCCTGTGCTTTCGTCACAGTCCTGTCCAACTACCCCCTGGAGACCCGGGGTAGCATGTGTCCCCAACACCCCGTTGCCGGTCATAAAAGGCAACTTATTGGGCAATCCGTTTGACAATTGTCGGTGGAGGAATAGTGTTCCTTTGCCCACTACACCACTTCGACCCTTACGTCATCAAGGCGGGTGGTAGGGTGGGCCTGGTGCTATCAATCGGCTGGTCATACCAAGCCCTGTATACTTAATGTATTTGTACAGATTTGACTTTTTGATTTGTCTTTTACTTCAGCACTTGGCCAAATTGTTTATGTATCAAATCTTCAATGTGACATATTTTAATTGCCGTCGTATGCCCAGAAGGTGATGGCTCATGGGCCAATTATATACCCTTGGCGCTGCAGATGGAGATCCACTGACTTACATCATTATCTGGTGGAGATAAATTGCTAAAAATAGTTCGTATAAATGTTTGTAGTTTGAAAGAAAAAAATGATATAATCGACAGTGAATTTCATGATTATGATATAATTTGTATCACAGAAACCCGGTTGCATTCTAAGATATCAGATATTGAAATACACTACAGGGTTTTCATACTCCTTTCAGGAAATATGGTGCAACAAGAGGAGGTGGTGTAGCAATCTACGTAAAGGATACACTGTATGCACGACGAATGTATGACTTAGAACTATTTAGGCTTGAGGCGGTGTGGGTAAACACAACATGTAAAAATCAAAATAAGGAATAAAGTGATTGCCTCTGTTCAATCTCATTAAAATCAAATCTTAGTTCTCGCTATCGCTAAACAAAGATCTGAGGACATCATATTACGGGTCACGTCAGAACGACCTTTCATCCAACCAATCAAAGCGTCGCTTACCATGAAAGTGATAGTCGGAATGTGTTGTCTAATCATGCAACCAGGAAAACGTTAACACGGGATTTTCCGAGCGACAGTTACGGCCCGTACGACTGATTCCGTCAAAATTATTGTCTATCTCTCGCTTCCGTGGGATAAACATTTGAACGGAGGAGGCGTTGCACAGTACGTGGGAAGCACTGCCATACAATCTCAAACATATATTAGACATTCCGGAATGTTCGTTTTTTCAGTTTTCAAAATATTAATCGAGAACTTTGTCAAAATATTTTTCAAGCGTGGTCTGAAATGATAGCCGCCAGGTTGAAACGAGTGCCGTAAAGCTCGAGAAAGCTGCTTTCTAATTGGCTGATGTCGACTTCTTGATTAGTCATTTCAGTGGTCTGTCAAAGTTCACGAAAGGTCGTTCTGAAATGACCCGTAATGGGATGTCCTCAGATCTTTGTTTAGCGGCAGCGAGAACTCAGATCTGATTTTAATGAGATTAGCCTCTGTTCGCTTGGCAAAGAAAATTATATTACAAAACTTGACGAAAAAATAAACAAAACTCCAGGGACGAAATTGTGGCGACAGCTTGTCAAATACCACCTAAAAGAAAACATGAAAATATAACATTTCCCATAATCATGTATCAAGGTAAAACAGGTAGAGGTGAGGATATAATAATTGCAAATATTTTTAATGATTTTTTCTCGCAGCAATCTACTGTCAATGATCCTGATAAATCATTCGTAAATTCAAGTTTCAAGTGTAACGACATATTGGATAGTATTACCCTTATCATGAAGAAGTACAGGACATCTTACTTTCAGTCGATGTCACCTAGGCGGTTGGATCTGATGGTATAAGTAACAAGTTCACTAAACAGTCAGTTAAAAGAATATCAAAACTACTAACAAGACTGTTTAATATGTCATTACACTCATCCAAATTCCCAACAACCTGGAAGGAAGCTCTTGTAACTCCTGTTCATAAGAAGGGTATTACAAACGAATGTTTAATTACAGACCTGTTGCACTTACAAGCTGCTTATCCAAAGCACTAGAAAAATGTGTATTAAAATATGTTTTCAACTTCCTTAGAGATAATGAAATTTTGAGTAATCTCCAGTCAGGTTTCATCCCTTAGTGATTCAACTACTTACCTATTTATCTACTTGTTTGACTTTATTTTGAAAGCCGTTGACGATGGTTGGAAGTTAGGGCAGTTTTTTTGTGAAATAAGTAAGGCTTTTGATAAGGTTTGGCACCATGTGATTAGTAAACAAACAAGAGATTTATGGCTTCAAGGGAACATTATTAAAATGGTTTGAAAGTTAGTTGATGGATAGAAAACAAGGAGTAGTTATCAACGGATATAAATCCCAATTAAACATTAAACTGGCTGGAGTACCACAGGGGTCTGTTCTTGGCCCTATGTTGTTCTTGATTTACATAAATGATTTAGTTGATAAAATGTATATCGTTGTTGAAAACCAATGCCGGGCAGCCTCAACATTAAACAATGATCCGATCGAAATCTCCAACTGGGATAAAACGTGGCAAGTGAAGTTAACCCTGAAAAAAACCCGAAAGTATTTCATTCTCCCCTAAGACGGTACCATTAAATAAACCGAATCTCCTAATGGATGGAATCATTGTAAAACAACTTGAAATGCATAAACATTTTGGCGTAGTTCTCCAGCTTGATACTCACTGGCATTGTCATATAGATAATATTGTATTAAAGGTCAGTCCGATGAAAAACTGTTTTAGAAGTTTAAGATTATGTATAAGTCATTCATCTTACCAATATTCGATTATTGAAGTATACTTTGGAATAATTGTACCAAAGATCAAGAATTGACAGTGGAAAAATTAAATCTGGATGCTCTAAGAACCATATGTGGTGCGACATTAGGCACAAGCCATAAAACATTGTATACAGAAACAAACCTGAAATCATTGTCACTAAGGCACAAAAATCAATCTTTATCTTTATTCTACAAAATGACAAACAATTTAGCACCAGCTTATCTCTGCAACCTAATCCCAGACCAGGTTAACGCTCGCAGTGATGACGACATGCTTAGAAACTCCTCAGAACTCTGAATAATTAGATGTTAGACTGAACACTACGCACAATCCTTCATACCTCACTCCACACAATTATGGAATAATCTATCTGAAGAAATTAAATCTACTGACTCTTACTAAAATTTTCGAAATGTATTATCATGCAATAACAATTACAAACCTTTTTTAATACAGATTTTGGAACCAGATTCTGTCAAATTATCCACTGCCGCCTCAAACATAAATTCGATAGATTCATAACTGACAGCCAAGATTGTTACTGTGGTCACCACTATGAAGACACTACTTCTTTGTTTGTTGTTTTTATAATCAAGTTAGAAGCAACTTATTATATGATAAATTCTGGTAGATTTTAACTTAAATAATACATCAAACTCTCACATATAATATATATGTATCTTGTGTACATTATGTAGTACTCTATACTACGAATAACCCCATAATTCTGACTATAAAAACCAGACATGCTGGATAACTGACCACCAAGGTATTTTTGTGTAAATATTTTGTAAACACCTTGACCATCTTTGTTACCTGATTTCTATGTAGGGAGAGGTGTTCAAATAAGCTCTGTCTTGTTTACCGATCCCAATTTTCAGTTGAAACAAAAATACTGATGATGCAATCTTCAAATCAAATAC